TCCAATGAAAATACTTTCAGAAATTTTTTAATAGAAAAACTGATCTTAACAGTCAAATGAAAAAATAAACAAGAATGACCAGGAAAACTCTGGGAAGGGAAAAGAACAACTAGAAAGGCTTAGTACTACCAGATATATGTATGAAAATATATTTTAAACCCATAATACTTAAAAGCTTGTAGCACTGGAACATTGAGAGACAGATAGAACAGTATAGAATGAAATACATATCATACATGAATTTATTTGATGAAAATGGAAGAATCTCAAATCAAAAGGGAAAAGGTAGACTAATGAATAAATGATAGTAAGACAATGGTAGATATCCATGCCTTTGTTGTAACATTTATCCCCTCAAAAAAAGAAAGTAAAAATTGAAACTATAGAAGTACTCTAGAGGAAAACAGAAGTACTAGAAGAAAATAATTATTAAAAAAATATTTTAATGAGATTGCCTTTAAAATATATATATATATACTTTATTGATTTTTTTTACAGAGAGGAAGGGAGAGGAATAGAGAGTTAGAAACATTGATCAGCTGCCTCCTGCACGCCCTACAGCCAAGATACATGCCCTTGGCTGGAATCGAACCTGGGACCTTTCAGTTCACAGGCCGACACTCCATCCACGGAGCCAAACTGGTTAGGGCTATGAAGTTGCCTTTTTAATGATGACTCAAATTCCAGGAAGTATAAATGTTGATGTTTGACTATATAAACATATATTACAAAATTTCTTCATGGCAAGATTCCACAAAGCAAAAACAGACTGGGAAGAAAACTTGTGATCTGTAACACAAAGGTCTAATCTCCCTCTAGAAATCAGTATGGAAAACCTGTACATTCACACTGCCGTGCGACCATCACCAACAGAATTCTTCAAGCTCTACCGATTAAACAAAAACCCCCCATTTTTCCTCCCTCTCAGACCGTGGCAGCCACCAATCTCATTCCTTTATCTATGAATTTGATTGCTCCAGGCCTACCTTCTATAAGAGAGATAATCTTTTTGTGACTGGTCTATAGCACTTAACGTAATGTCCTCAAGTTTCATCAGTTTTGTAGCATGTATCAGAAGTTCCTTTCTTGATAAGGCTGAATACTATTCCACGTATGTATGTCCCACATGGTTTATCCATTCTCCAGTCAGTGGACGTGTGTGTTGCTTCTGTCCCTCAGCTATTGTGAATGATGCTGCTATGAGCATGGGTGTACAAGCATCTCTGAGTCCTCACGCGCATATTTTTATATTTAAATTTTTGTGTTGGAAAAGTTGCATTAGTAATGGAAAGTTGTCTTAGTAATCAGTTTCTGCAGAATACATCCGTGGCCCTAAACGTCGATGGCTTATCACAACCATGATTTATTATTCCCCCTGGTTCTGTGAGTTGGCTGGATGGTTCTTTCCCTTGTTTGCCTGGCCTCGGTCACACAGCGCATTCCGCTGGGAGATGGGATGGGCCCTCAGGGCCACGCTGGCTTCATTCACGTGTCTAGCAGAGGTCTTGGTTCTTGCCCGGTTCTCCTCCATGTGGCTTCTTATCCTCTAGACTCGTGGTCGGCAAACTGCGGCTCAAGAGCCACATGCAGCTCTTTGGCCCCTTGAGTGTGGCTCTTCCACAACATACCACGGCCTGGGCGAGTCTATGTTGAAGAAGTGGCATTAGAAGAAGTTGAAGTTTAAAAAATGTGGCTCTCCAAAGAGATTTCCATCGCTGTCCTGTTGATATTTGGCTCTGTGGACTCATGAGTTTGCCGACCACTGCTCCTGTGGGTTAGGCCAATGTTCTTACCTGGCAGCCTCAGAGGCATCGAGAGGGGAAAGCAGAAACTGCAAGGTTTCTGAGGCACAGGCTCCAGAACTTGCTCTGTGTCACTTCAGTTATCTCCGACTGGTCAGGGCAGGTGTCAAAGCCAGTTCCTGGCCAGTGGGAAATACAGTCCACCTCTTGATAAGAGTAGCTGCAAAAAAAAAAAAAAAAAAAAAAAATTATCGGTGGCCACATTTAATCCACCACAGAAATATATTACCTATTCAAAAATATTCAATAAGCCGAAACTGGTTTGGCTCAGTGGATAGAGCGTCAGTCTGTCTGCGGACTGAAAGGTCCCAGGTTCGATTCTGGTCAGAGGCATGTACCTTGGTTGTGGGCACATCCCCAATAGGGGGTGTGAAAGAGGCAGCTGGTCGATGTTTCTCTCTCATCGATATTTCTAACTCTCTGTCCCTCTCCCTTCCTCTCTGTAAAAATTCAATAAAACATATGTAAAAGTAAAATAAAATAAAGCCAAAACCTACCGTTTCCCCGAAAATAAGACAGTGTCTTATATTAATTTTTGCTCCCCAAGATGCGCTAGGTCTTATTTTCAGGGGATGTCTTATTTTTCCATGAAGAAGAATACGGTACACATTTATTGTTAAATGAAAATAAAGGAAATTTACTACCTGTATACGGTACAGTAGTACGGTAGTCGTCAACACAAACCAGACAAACTGTGAATCCTACAGTATCAAGAATCTACTCATTTATTCAATGACAATCATGTCATCATCTTCTGGAACATCATCATAACAATCCAATTCCTGAATTTCCTGGTGAATCTCTTGTGACTCCATTTCTTTCAGAATCAGTGGACCAAATCTCTCATGTTGAGCAATAGCATTCTGAGACAGAGCCTAGGGGGCGCCTTATTTTCGGGGGGGGGGGGTGCCTTATATTTCACTCAGAAGGAAACCTGTAAGTAGGTCTTATTTTCGAAGGATGTCTTATTTTCGGGGAAACAAGGTAATATTAATATATATATATATATATATATATATATACACACACACACACACACATATATATATAAAATAAAAAAACCCTTATCACGAGCCTTGAATGGGTGGCTTAGCGGGTTGGAGCATCGTCCCGTACGTACACCAACAGGCTGCAGGTCCGATGTCCAGTCAGGACACACAGCAATGTTGCAGGTTTGATTCCCAGTCAGGGTGCGTACTGGAGGGAACTGATCAAAGTCTCTCTCTCTCTCTTTGTCTCTCTCTTTGTCTCTCTCTCTGTCTCTCTCTCTTTGTCTCTCTCTCTCTCTGTCTCTCTCTCTCTCTTAGTCTCTCTCTCTCTCTTAGTCCCCCCCCCTCTCTCTCTTAGTCTCTCTCTCTCTCTATTTCTCTCTCTCTCTCTCTCTCTGTTCTTTGAATGTGCTGAACCCTTTACCGATGGCAGGGTTTTTGCACATGCCACCCCCTCCGGTGGAACACTAATCCTACCTTTGCCTGGCAACAACACATAGGAGTTGTTGTGGACTAAATTGTGCCCCCCCCCCCTTCTTATGTTGAAATCCTAACCTTCAGTACTGTAGAATATGACTTATTTAGAAATGGAGCCTTTAAAGACGCAATTAAGGTACCATGAGGTCATCAGGGTAGGCCCTTATCCACTATGACACACACTCATGGAGGGGAGAGCATGTGAGGACACAGGGAGAAGGCAAGCGACCAGCCGAGGCAAGAGGCCTCAGAGGAAATCAGTCCTGCTGATCTGCAAGCCAGATACGTGGCCTTCAGAACTGTGAGGAGAGAGGTGGCCACGGCTGCCCTCGCACACTGTACAGCGGTGAAGCAGCTGAGTTCGGAAGCAGCCTTCCCCGTTGTAAAACCTGCCACTGTCGCCGAAACCGGTGTGGCTCAGTGGATAGAGTGTCAGCCTGAGGACTGAAGGGTCCCAGGTTCGATTCCGGTCAAGGGCATGTACCTTGGTTGCAGGCACATCCCCGGTAGGGGGTGTGCGGGAGGCAGCTGATGGATGATCCTCTCTTATCGATGTTTCTAGCTCTCTATCACTCTCCCTCTCTGTGAACAATCAATAAAATATATATATTTTTAAAAACACCCGCCGCTGTCAGTTACCAGCTGTGTGACTTTGGGCAAATGACTTACCCTTTTTCTGTGACACGGCGATGACAGCCATCGTCCCAGCACAGAGACAGCCCCCGTCTGGGGGGTTTTCTGGGACGCAGGACTTTTTGTGGTAAACTCTGACGACTCACCCTACACTGACTATGGCTGCTGTGAAACTGAATGAAGAATCCCTAGAACATGGTAAGCTAGAACATGGCAAGCACTCTGGCCATTACTTCAAAGGTCACGTGTCTGAAAACCAAACCAAACGGACTCCTCTCCGGACTCTCTCTGCGTACCTGGACCGTGTCCCCCTTCTCACCGCCCAGGGAAACGCTTTGCAGTCCCCAGTGCCTCTTCCTCACCTGCATGCTCACCAAGACCTACTACGAGTTCCACAAGAGGGGACAAAAGGGCAAGAGGCAAGACAGGAAGGGGCCCTTCGCCATTTCTGTGCCATGACCTATAGCAGTACTGGGCCATGTGCTGCTGTAAGCATTACATAATAAGGTCTAGCCCTGAGTCTAATTTCAGATTTCATAGTGCCCTAATTAAGTTAACAACAAAGTACCTACCTATATAGTTTAAGTTTAAAAAATGTGGCTCTCAAAAAAGAAACTTCAACCGTTGTGCTGTTGGCATTTGGCTCTGTTGACTGATGAGCTTGCCGACCACTGGCCTAGGCGATTCGGGAGCCAATGGGGATCCAGATGCAGGCAGCTGCTGGCTTGCACGAGGTCAGATCATGGCAACTAGACTCTCAACTCCCATAGTTGAGGGGCCTGAGGATAAGAGAATAGCAAAGGAGGCTCACAGACTGTGGAAATAGCTATTTCAAAGTTATACATCAAGCTAGTCATCTGTCCAAATATCCTCTATCCTCCCGCCCGGGTAAATGCATCTTTCGAAGGACCTGGACGGGGGCAGGGGTGCGTGGGGGGCTGCAGGATGGGTTGCATTCACGCAGAGCTTTCCTGGAACCCCAGCAGCAGGGAGCGCGGGGCGGCCGGGGGTAGGGAGAGCCACAGCGCCACCTGCCGGTTCTCCGAGGGACGACGTCCCGGCGCCGCTTCCGGCCGCGGCCGTGGCCTGCGTGGCCGCGGGCGGCGGCGCGGGGTCGAAGGGCACGCGGGGTGCGTGTCATGGCGGCCTCCATGCTGGGCTGGGCCTGGGGCCCGCTGCGGCCCGGCGTGCCCGGCGTGTGGGCGCGCGGGCGGCGGCTCCCGGGGCCCGCGGGCTCGGGGCGGAGCGTGGCTGCAGCCAGCGGGCCGGGCGGCGCGGGCGCTGACCGCTACTGCCTGGAGCTGCTGCGGTGAGCGCCCGGCGCCGGGGGGCCGCGGGAGGCCGGGCGGGGGCCCCGGGGAGGCCGGGCGGGGGCCGCGGGGAGGCCGGGGCGGAGGGCGGGCGGGGGCCCCGGGGAGGCCGGGCGGGGGCCGCGGGGAGGCCGGGGCGGAGGGCGGCCCGGCGCCGGGGAGGGCGGGGCGGGGGGCGGGGGGCGGGCGGGGGGCGGGCGGGGGCCCCGGGGAGGCCGGGGTGGGGGGATGGGGGGGCGGGGGGCGGGGGGCGGGCGGGGGCCCCGGGGAGGCCGGGCGGGGGCGGCGGGGAGGCCGGGCGGGGGGCGGCCCGGCGCCGGGGAGGGCGGGGCGGGGGGCGGGCGGGGGGCGGACCCGCTCCTTCCTGTCCCGTGGCGTGGGGGCTCCGGGTGCGGGACGTGGGGCGGGAGGCAATGCCGGGGATTTGTACGGGGCACAGGATTCTCTCCCACGTGGTCACGGTGCACCTGTCAGAACGAGGACATAGAAATGGATCCGATGTTACCGTCTAACCCACGGGATCGGTTTGCATTTTGCTGATGATTCTATGACGTCCTTCATTACTCTTGGGGTCGTGTGCTACCTTTCGTTGTTATATCTCTTTTTTTTTTTTAAAACATTTTATTGATTTTTTACAGAGAGGAAGAGAGAGGGAAGAAACATCGATAAGATAGAAACATCGACCTGCTGCCTCTTGCACTCCTGGGGATGTGCCCGCAACCAAGGTGCATGCCCTTGACCAGAGTCAAACCTGGGACCCTTCAGTCCGCAGGCCGACGCTCTATCCACTGAGCCAAACCGGTTTCCGCTATGTCTCTTTCGTTTTCTCCAATCTGGAGTGGGTTTTTAGTCTTTGCTTATGTTTCATGAGCTTGACTTTTTTTTTTTTTTAGGTTCATGTCAATTTTTTTTCCCAAATATATTTTTTACAATAATTGATTTTTCATAGAGAGGAAGAGAGAGGGATAGAGAGGTAGAAACGATGAGAGAGAATCATCCATCAGCTGCCTCTTGCACACCCCCTATCGGGGATGTGCCCGCAACCAAGGTACATGCCCTTGACCAGAATCGAACCTGGGACGTGTCAGTCTGCAGGCTGACGCTCTATCCACTGAGCCAAATCGGTTTCAGCTCCTCTTTATTCTTTTTTGTTGTTGTTAACCCTCACTCTTAAGGATATTTTTTCCATTGATTTCTTGAGAGAGTGGAAGAGAGGGAAGAAGGGAGGAGAGAGAGAGAGAGACATGGATCTGAGAGAGACACATCTATTGGTTGCCTCCTCCTGCATGTACGCTGAGTGGGACTAGGGATCGAACCTACAACCCAGGTACTTGACCTGGAATTGAGCCCATAATCCTCCCGAGCCTAGGCTGATGCTCATAACCGCTGAACCACACCAGCCAGGGCTATTTATTCTTTCATTTCTATTGATAGAGGCTCATGGGGCCCTGTTACAGCCTGTTAACTGCCCTTATGTCTTGATGCTCAAATTGTTCCAGACGTGGCCAAAGGGAACCTGATCGTGTCCATTTCTTTGTCCTTTTGACAAACCCCTTCATTCTTTGAACGTTTCTTTCTCCTCAAGATGTTTCAGGCTTACCTTGTATTTTCCCTGCCCCAGTTCTGGAGTCAGTCTTTCCTCCAAGGACCCCTAGCGTTTATTTGTGTGTTTGTTTTCAGTGGCGAAAGGTATTTAGAAACCAAGATCTAGGTGTCGGGTGTGTTCACTGATCCTGGGGCCAGCGTGGGAGGAGTGGCATTGCTTCCAGGCTCGCTCAGCAGTGTTGCTGGGAAACATACGTACAGTATGTGCTAGTGGGTGTGCATACGTGCAAGCAGCCCCACACCCCTCTTATTGTTTTCTGTCTTTATGTCTTATCTGTTTATTTATCTATGTATTAAAAACTGCGAGTTCATACCAGGACTTTCTGGAACTACCTTGGTAACTCATTTGAATTCTTACAAAGTGGTTGTGAAACAACTAAAATTATAAGTACTATATAAGTCAAAATAAATTAATGGAGATTAATTATTTCTTATTTTTAACTGGTCTGGGATTGTGGGCCGATACATTTTTAGTAATGTTAGAGAAACTGGTATAGAATATAAGAAATTTCAGGCCTTTTTTTGAATTGAAGCCACATTATTTTCAGGTAATTCTGGTTAGTATTTTTTTGTGTGCAGTTTGGAAGTCAAAAGTAGCTGTCTTTTTAAAATTTTAATCTTGCCTATTTGTTACAGGAAACGAGATTATGAAGGTTATTTATGCTCCCTGCTGCTTCCTACAGAATTCAGAAGCTCTGCTTTTGCACTGAGAGCCTTCAATGTGGAACTGGCTCAGGCTGGTATTAAAATTCCTTTAAAATTATTTGCAAAAATGTTGATATAACGTGTTTAATGTGGAACAAAAAAGAAATGTAATTGTAATTCTTATATGTTAGATGTGTTTAAGGTCTCTGCTGGTGATTTTTTTTCCTATTTAGGCTTAACAATTCAATTCCAAAAATAAAACTAGCAAAGAACTTGCTGTTTCTGGAAATAACATTCTGGAATTTATTTTTCTAAGGATATTAGAAAACTAAAACTATAACTAAAACTATATCTAAAACTATGCACTTAACATTGCACATTTGTATTTATCGCAAGAAACCCAAAACAAAAAGACATATGCATCCTATGTTCACTGCAACATTATAGGCAGGATATGGAAGCAACTTAAGTGCCCATAAAGAGATGAATGGACAGCGCTGGCTGACGTGCTCAGTGGTTAGAGCAATTTCAGTGGGCTGAAAAGTTGGCCAGGTTTCAGGGAATCACCAGGATGGGGCAAAGTATCAGCTAGATACTTATAAATAATTGAGCCCTAACCAGTTAGGCCTGTGGGCTGAAAGGTCCTGGGTTCGATTCTGGTCAAGGGCATGTACCTTGGCTGCGGGCACATCCCCAGTAGGAGGTCTGCAAGAGACAGATGATTGACGTTTCTCTCTCATCGATATTTCTAACTCTCTATCCCTCTGTCTTCCTCTCTGTAAAAAGTCAATAAAATATATTTTTAAAAAAGTTCATAATGACAACAGTTTAAGGAAAAATTAAAACAATTATATAGAATTATATTTAGTTTTTGGCTGAATTATGTGATTATGTAGTCATAAATATTGATATTTTAGACTGTAAACAGTGCATTTATTAAAGTTTTTAAACCCTATTTATAGGTGAAAGATTCAGTTTCTGAGAAAACAATTGGACTGATGAGAATGCAGTTTTGGAAGAAAACTGTGGATGACATATACAGTGACAATCCACCACATCAGCCTGTGGCCGTTGAACTGTGGAAGGTAAAAAAAAATTGTAAGAATTTTATTTGAGCATATTTTTTTTTAATTTTTTTTAAAATATATTTTATTGATTTTTGTACAGAGAGGAAGGGAGAGAGAGAGTTAGAAGTATTGATGAGAGAGTCATCGATCAGCTGCCTCTTGCACACCCCCTACTGGGGATGTGCCTGCAACCAACGTACACGCCCTTGACCGGAATCGAACCTGGACCTTTCAGTCCCCAAGCTGACACTATCCACTGAGCCAAACCGGTTTTGGCTTTTTTTATTTTTTATATACATATTTCATTGATATTTCATGGAGAGGAGAAAGGGAGAGAGATAGAGAGCTAGAAACACCGATGAGACATAAACATCGGCCAGCTACCTCTTGCACATCCCTCACAGGGGACGTGCCTGCAACCCATGTACATGCCCTTGACTGGAATCGAACCTGGGACCTTTCAGTCCGCAGACCGACGCTCTATCCACTGAGCCAAACCGGCTTCCGCAATTTGAGCATATTTTTGATGCATATAATTTGGATAATAGCGATGGGCAGTCTGTCCTAAATTATTCTTAGGCTCATGTAATGTTCTGATACATGTTAGTTTGGGCAGAAGAATTTAAAATTATCCACTAATAATTTGCACAGATTTTTTATGTATTTCTTTATTAAAGGGGAAAAGAGGGATCTGGTCACTTTTTGTTATACATTATTTTCCACATATTTGGTTGCAGAATTTAAACCCTACACATTTGAAGCAATGGCAGGTAAATACCCTGTTCTATCTCTGAAGGGAGACGTGCTCTCAATATTGTCTACACACAAGCTGCCTTTCTAGTTTGATAGAATTGCCTATTCATTGATGAATTTTAGATGTTAGAGAATAGAAACTGAAGGGCTAGAGAATTATTGTATAGATAGATGTATATAATATTTAGTTTTACATTAAAGCAGCTGTATGAAACCTCATTCATAAACAGCTATGCAGTTTAGAAATATGCTAAGTTATGAACCGAGGAAGGGAATTGGGTGCTCTTGCCACTGACCTGTGTCCCACTGTCATATGATGAGTGAGTGCCGAGAGACAGTTCCTGTGACAGCAGCCACGCACAGGTCTGACGGCGGTGCCCCTCTCCTCAGGTCTGCGCCAGCAGAGGCAGCCCCGTCTCTGGGCCCAGGTTGACTTCACAGCCCCTCCGGCAGGGACTGAAGAAAAAGTGGATGGGAAGCTGTGAGTATTAGATTAGTGTTCACCTCTGTTCGTCCCACTTCAGTCATTTCAACCTAGGTGACTCGGTTCAGAGAAAAGTTTCTCTAAAATCCAGAAACTTTCTGCTGATTATTATTTAAATACATAGTTATTGATTTCAGAGAGGAAGGGAAAAGGAAAGAGATAGAAACGTCAATGATGAGAGAGAATCATTGACCGGCTGCCCCTTGCATACTCCCTACTGGGGATTGAGCCAGCAACTCGGGCATGAGGCCTTGACCAGAAGTGAACCCAGGACCCTTCAGTCCGCAGGCCGACACTCTAGAGTCTAGATACAGGCAAACTGGCTAGGGTTGTTTATTATTTTATACGCAAACCTGACTGCAGTAGAGGTTTATGCTAAGACTTGCGTTAAAAGTTCTGGCCTTAGGAAATATCATGAAGAGTCAAAATTCTTTTAACACAAATTGATCTTGCTTTGGCTTTTCTTAAACAAAAGACACATCTGAATTACAGAATATTTAAATGTGTGCCAGTTTGTCCAGTTTTATAACAGCAGCTTAAATTTTGATGACTAATGTTGGCCAGCTCTTTTGTAAGACCAGGGCTGAAGGTTAAATCGGATATTTGAAAGGAGCAGGTGGTGCTCAGAGCGTTTGCCCTCCTTGTATGTTCTTTCCCTCCTCGTTCTGCAGGAGCACGTGCTTATATCACATTGTCCAGTAACACCTCCCTTGGGTTCTTCCAAGGGCCTTAGGTTCCTTAAGAGCTAAGTAGAGAAACAGTGACTGTTGTTGGAGGGCACGTTCCTGCTGCACTCTCTCATTGGTGCTTTTGTTATTTTTTTTTTTACTTTTTGTTGATTTTTTACAGAGAGGAAGGGAGAGGGATAGAGAGTTAGAAACATTGATGGGAGAGAAACATCGATCAGCTGCCTCCTGCACACTCCCTACTGGGGATGTGCCCACAACCAAGGGACATGCCCTTGACCGGAATGGAACCTGTGACCCTTCAGTCCGCAGGCCGACGCTCTATCCACTGAGCCAAACTGGCTAGGACATCATTGGTGCTTTTAGAGTACAAAATAGTTGAATATCTATAATTTCTCAGACATTTCTCCATTTTTTCTGTTTATTAATATTGTAGTTTAAATGTATGTTTTTAGCCAAGGTTTTTATTCTGTTCGACTTCTGTTTTCAAAGTCTTAATGCTTTATTCAGCTGCTTTTCAACTTTCTACAGATAAGTTGTTTTTTACCTTGATCTCGGATTTCCCTCAGAATGAGCTAGAAGAACTATATTTTGTGGTCAAGGAAGTGCAGCCATTATAACCTCATCCTTGAGAAAATAGGAGTAAGACTTCTCAGTGGTTAAACATTTAGTACTTTTGTGTCCCAGGAATGGTGTTTGATGGCATGGCTACAAAGATCAGACATGCCCTGCCCCACTCATACATGTGCCAAATCAAACAAGAGCAGGACTCTGTAAAGACCGAGGAACCCCCGCTGGTTCCTGGGCTGTGGACTGAGGCTAGTGGGAGTCCTACTGTGTAACAGGAGCAGTGCTGAGGGAACTTGGGAGCCGACTGTGTGCAGCCTGTTAGCTTCTTTTAGGTTCCTGTGAGCTCTGCTCCATACTTTCACCCTGTGCGTACTGAAGAGCATGCTGGCTGGCCTTGACATTTTGTTGTCAATGACATCTTAGAGTCTTAGTTGAAATATGGGATATTCCAAAGACTTTATGTGTTACTACTATTACTATAGTGAAAATATATCATAGTTAGTGTTGATTTGGCAGGAAAACAATGTTTTTAAAATGTATCAAACTTTCAGAAAAGTTTCCAGTATAAGAACATCTCTATACCCTTTACCCAGATTTACCTGTTAACATTTTAAAACATTTTATCCCATTTGTTAATCATTTGTACTGTTCACTCACGTGGGTGTATGAACTTGTTCTCTATTTTTTTTCTGAATTATTTTTTAGTGTAAGTTATATACATTGTGGCCCTTTATCCTTAAATACTTTAGTGAGTATTTCCTAAGAATAGGGACATTCTATTACATAACCAAAACAGTTATGACTTTAGTAAATTTAACTTTGATACAACTCATATCTGGAGGCATATATTTTTTAAAATATTTTATTGATTTTTACAGAGATGAAGGGAGATAGATAGTTAGAAACATCAATGAGAGAGAAACATCAATCAGCTGCCTCCTGCACACCCCCTACTGGTGATATGCCCGCTATCAAGGTACATGCCCTTGACCGGAATTGAACCTGGGACCTTTCAGTCTGCAGACTGATGCTCTATCCACTGAGCCAAACCAGTTAGGACTGGAGGCATATTTTGTACATCTGTACCTTATGGACATTGTTACTTTTCATCATCCAGTCAAGATGTTGCCTGGTTTGCTCACTGTATAATTATAATTCTCCTGGTAGCAATAAGACAATGCAAATATCCTATTTCTCATTAATTTCCCCTGAACCGTAGCATTCATTGATGGTTCTTGTCTAATTCAGTCTTAGCTATTATGATTGCAAAATGCTCATTTTCTAATTCTAATACTCTGGGTACGTTTACCACTTGGCAGTAACCAAGATATCCCACTCTCCTATATTTTATTTTATTTTTTAAAATATTAGGTCTAGTAATAATTAATGTCGTTTTCTAATACTTTTTTAAATCGAATTTATTTAAACAATACAACAAAATTTAATCAACAATATAGTTGCCGTTGTTTTCTACTACTTGTGCCCAACGCTCAGGAAGCATTTTAATCCCTCTGTTGTAAAATTCTTGTGATTTTGATGCAAAAAATTCGGTCAATGCATTTTTGAGGCATTCTTCATTATTAAATTTTTTTCCAAGAAGAAAGTTTTGCAAAGAACGAAACAAATGGTAATCGGAAGGGGCAATATCAGGAGAATATGCAGGTTGAGGGAGAACTTCCCATTCCAACTGGCGCAGTTTTTCAGCAGTGATTCTTGCAGTATGCGGTCGTGCGTTATCGTGGTGAAGAATTACGCCCTTCCGATTAATCAGCGCGGGTTCTTTTTCTCTTAAAGCTTGGGCTAACCTTTCCAATTGGGCACTATACACTGCACTTGTAATGGTTTGGTTAGATGGTAAAAGTTCATAATGAAGAATTCCTTTAAAATTCCACCAAACACACAACATCACTTTTTTCGCATGCAAGTCAGGTTTTGGCGTGGGCTGCGGAGCCTCATTTTTGTCCAACCATTGAGGCCACCTTTTCAAATTAACATACAGCACCCATTGTTCATCTCTGGTAACAATTTGCTCTAAAAACGGCAAACGGTTTTGACGAGAGAGGAGCGAACTGCAAATTGTGACTCTTTGATTACGGTTGTTGTCGGTCAACTCATGAGGAACCCATTTTCCAAACTTTTGGACTTTGCCAAGTGCACGCAATTGATGGGAAATTGTTTTTTGTGAACAATTTAAAGTTGTCGCAAGCTCTTGTTGGTTAATTTGAGGATCTTGCACCAAAAGAGCTTGAAGAGCTTCTTGATCAAAATTGGACACACGGCCTCGACCACTCTTGTCATCTAACGAAAAATTTCCCTCGCGAAATTTCTCAAACCAATGCTGGCATTTTCTGGCGCTAACTGCATCTTGACCAAGAGCACTACAGATGTTTTTTGCAGCCTCACTTGCTTTTCTTCCTAATTGGAACTCGTAAAGCATGCAGTGCCGAATATGCTCTTCATCCGCCATCTTCTTAGCCCTAGTTTTGCAACAAAAACCAAACCAAACACAAACTTTTTCAAGCAAAACTTGTTAATTGCACTTCACACGTTCTGTAGATACCACGTGTTTAAAGGTTATGTCAATACAAGTCAACACCAAGCAAGATTTTAAACGAATGTTTAAAAACGACATTAATTATTACTAGACCCGATATCTTTTATTGATATTTTCTAGAGATGGAGGGAGAGGGATAGAGAGTTAGAAACATCAATGAGAGAGAAACATCGACCAGCTGCCTCCTGCACACCCCCCACTGGGGATGTGCCTGCAACTGAGGTACATGCCCTTGACCGGAATCGAACTTGGGACCTCTCAGTCCGCAGGTCGACGCTCTATTCATTGCGCCAAACCAGCCAGGGCTCTCCTATATTTATTTGTCTATTAATTATTATTATAAACTCATGAAATCCTTTTTTTTTTTCAGTAGTCTATAGTTCATTACTAAACTTAATTATTTTGGTGTTTAAATAGTCCCAGATTTGGATAGTAGGAGGTTCTTTTAACTGCCTCCCATACTTTTTTGAGTGTTTTCTATTTTCTGGAACAATAAGATTCTCTAGGGATCATATTAACTCTCCTTTGCCCAACTCTGGAAATTGCTCATTTCTCTGGACCCCTGTTTCTTGGGAGAAATGCTTTTAGAGACAGATGTGGGCCCAGGTGTGCTCTTTTCTACTAGAGTGTCTTTACTTGCTAAAGTAGCACTGTGTCTTGCAGATATTTCCTCTGGAGTTTGAGTTACTCTTCTCCTTTTGGATAAGTGGTTATTTTTATTAATTAGAATCTTCATCCTATGGAAAGAAGTTTGCATGTAATAAGTAAGCATAGACATCAGGGTACATCATATAACAGTAGCTTGGGTATTTAATTTTTGTTTTTCTTTGGAAGTGCAATCATTAAATTACTAATAGCATAATAAAAAAGAGATTAGTGGAAAAGTTTTAGACATATTATCTTTACTTGGAAATATTTTCTAGGGACATTTTCTTTTTTCCTGGTATTTCTTTAATACAGCTGGTTTTTTTTGTTCTTTCTTTCTTTCTCTTTTTTCTTTTGTGGTGAGTTATTACAAATGTTCCCTTACCAAGTTTTGCATTTGGTTTGTTTATTTTTATACAGGTCTGCAGAAGTCATTTCTAGTGCTTTCTAAAAATTCATAATACTCTTCTTTTTTTTTAGGCTGTCAAAAGACATAATCTGACTAAAAGATGGCTTATGAGAATCATTGATGAAAGAGTAAGTTGAAATTGCTCTAGTCTTAAATTTTTCTTTCTTTTTAATCTTTAATTTTCATCAAAATTTGAGTAGTCATACACATACCTTTATCTACACCCAGTATTTAGGTCTCTGTCCAAAGAATACAGGGAATAAGGAAAGTTTGATGGTTCTAGTAGATGGAATCCTATGCTAAGTTCTTAGAACCGAGTTCTATTCTAGTTCCCACAAATTGCTCAATGACCTGAGCCAGTGATCGGCAAACTCATTAGTCAACAGAGCGGCAAACTGCAGCTCAGGAGCTGCATGCGGCTCGAGAGCCGCGGTTTGCCGACCCCTGACCTGGGTTAGCCTGTGTGATCTTCCTGATATATTGTTGGCTCAGTGTCCTCATTGGCCTGATGTTTATAATGCACTGTTGCCATTTCAGTGCAAGTTTACTTAACTTTATGTGGATATAATCTATGAATAACCATAAGCTATAGTAATATTAATAATAATATAAGCCAAAATGACATGGTGGCTTCAACATTAAGAAAAATTGCTCATTTGACCTGTAGAGTTAATTAGCACTAAGAAAATCATTTTTTCATATGTCCTGGTTTTATGACATTAAGAAAATTGGAGAACTTAAGACAGAGATAGCTTTCCTGTTTAATGGAATAATACTACTTGGCATTTGTAGGGAGAGATATTTAAAAGTAAAGGACTGGGCTCAATCTCCCCTCATAGATTCAGTGCATTGCCTATAAAAATTCCAGCTAGCTTTTTTACAGAAACTGACAAGCTGATCCTAAAATTCTTATGCAAATGCAAGGGGCCCAGGATCACCAAAACAATCTTGAAAAAAAGGAACAAAGTTTCAGGACTCATATTTCTTGATTTTGAAACTTAACTACAAAGTTAGAGGAATCAAACTGTGTGGTATTGATATAGCATAGACATATAGATCAATAGAATAGAATTGAGAGTCCAACAATAAACCCATATATTTATAGTCAATTGATTTTTGACAAAAGTGTGAAGATAATTCAATGGGGAAAGAATTTGTTTCAACAAATGATGTTGGAACAACTAGATAGCCACATACAAAAGAATGAATTTGGATTCCTACCTCACACCGTATACAAAAACTTACTCAAAATGGATCAAAAACCTAAATGTAAGACTTACAATTGTAAAACTCATAGGAGAAAGCACAGGCATAAGTTTATGTGACTTTAGAATGGGCAGTGATTTCTTAGATATGATAAAAGCACAATAAATTAAATATACAATTGGACTTTGTCAAAATTAAAAAATTTAAGGAAGTTAAAAGACCGTTCATAAAATGGGAAAAAGTATTTGCCAGTTATATATTTGATAAGAGAGTAGTATCTAGAATATGTAAAGAATTCTTAGACCTAACACTAAAAAGATAATCCAGTTTAAAAATAGGCAAAGGATCTTATTATAATAAATACTCTTTAAGGAGATATACCAATGACCAATAAGCACCTGAAAAGATGTTCAGTATGTTTTCATTAGGGAGATGTAAGTAAAAAACACAATGAGATACTGCCTCACACTCACTGGGATATATGTAAATTATAAAAAAGATACTGGTGAGAATGTGGAGAAATTGAGATCCTTCATACATTCCTCATGGAATGTAAAATGGTACAGCTGCTTTGGAAAAACAGTTTTTCAAAAATTAAACAGAATTTACTATAATCCTAGCATTTTACTCCTCGGTTATATACCAAGGGAAATGAGAATACATGTCCACACAAAATTTGTACACAATGTTTATAGCAGCATAGTCCAAAAATGGGAACAGCTCATAGTCTATCAATGAATGAACAAACAAAATGTTATATATCCGTACCATGGAATATTGTTTATAATTTCTTCAGTTAAAATAATGAAGTACTGATAGAAGCTTAGACATCCATGAACCTTGGTAACCTGCTAATTGAAAGAAGCCAGATACAAAAAGCCACATATTGTGTCATTGTGTTTTTATAAAATGTCCAGAACAGACAAATCCATGGAAACAGAAGGTAGACTTATGGCCTGTCAGGAGATGCAGGGGAAGGGAAATGGGAAGTGACTGCTTCACGGATATGGATTTCTTTTTGGCGATGGAAACATTCCGGGATTCACCGTAGCTGGTGTGGCTCAGTGGATAGAACCTCGGCCCACACACTGAAGCGTCCCAAGTTCAATTCAAGTCAAGAGCACGTACCTTGGTTGCAGGCTCAAACCCCAGCCCTCGTCGGGGCCTGTGCAGGAGACAGCCAGTCGATATGTCTCTCTCTGTCTCTTCCCCTCCCTTCCACTCTGTAAAAACCAGTGGAAAAAAACCCTCAAGTGAGTTACAAAAAGAAAAAAAGGAAAACATTCCGGAATTAGGTAGTGGTAGTAATCGCATAACTTGTTGAATATACTAAAAACCACTGACATAATATATTTTTAAAAGATAAATTTTATGGTATACAAGTTATGTCATTTTTTTTTTTTTTAATATAAAAGATTTGAACATAATTTCTTTTCCCCTGGAATCATTGCTGGTGTCAATATTTTCTGATTAAAAAGAAGAAGGATGTATTACCTTGAAAATGACTCTTTGTTAATGTATTATTATAAAAGTGACTAGCCTTTACGAGGACTTACATTGTGAATAGAATTGTGTTCAGTTCATCAATCCTGTTACTTCATTGAGCACTAGAGGCCCGGTGCACGAAATTTGTGCAAGAGTAGGCCAGCTGCTGGCATTGGGTCCCTCTGGCACCTGGTCCACATCGGGCCTCTCCTGCCTCCTCAGCAGCACTAAGAAATAGCAAGCCCGGCTTCTGGCTGAGCGGCACAGGGGGCAGCGCCTGTGTTGAGTATCTGCCCCCTGCTGGTCATTGTGCATCATAGTGACCAGTCATTCTACTGTCCAATCAATTTGCATATTAGGGTTTTATTACATAGGATGTGACCTTAGGAATATTAATGTGTCTGTGACTCAGTTTCTTCATCTGCAAAATGAGAAAAGTATTATTTTGTTATCTTTGTGGGGATGCTACGATTAAAAAGATAATGTCTAGTGCTGAAGAAAGAGCTCAGTAAATTCAGTTTTTCATGATAACTTGGGCTTTCAAAGGAATTAAAAATTAAACCAACCTATGACGATGGTGATTCGTACATTGAGATTAATCCTGTGGTATTTATTTTGAGGGATGATTTGTAAGATTGTATGTGTAGAACTTTCATATCTTAATTTTATTTTAAGCTTATTTTACTTTGTGTTAAAGAGTATCTACTTAATATTTTTATTATTCAGTTTTTGGGGGCAAAAAATCGTGTCTTTATAAATTTTGATAATTCAGCAAACTTGATTTGCCTTTTGTTTGATTATAGGAAAAAAATTTGGATGACAAAGCATATCGTAATATCCAGGAACTGGAAAATTATGCCGAAAACACACAGAGTTCTCTTCTTTATTTAACACTAGAAATATTGGGTAAGTTGTGTGTGTTTTTTTTATTTCATACTTCTCTTTTTCCGAATAAAATACGCTTCAGGCTTCATGCTTTCATAATTTTACAATCTTTAACAATGGGTGTTTTTTTTTTTTTCATCATTTGTAAAGGAAAAGCCATATACATATATATATACACACACACACATATAAATAAAATTTATTTATTTATTTTGAGCAAGAAGGGGAATGTCTGTCTGTCTTTGGAGTACAGATTAATCACAGTACTTAGGCTCTAATAAAAATACTTTAACCATGGCCGGTTTGGCTCAGTGGAGAGAGCGTTAGCCTGCAGGTTTGATTCGGTCAGGGGCACATCCCCAGGTTGCGGGCTCAGTCCCCAATGGGGGGTGTGCAGGAGGCAGGTGATTCTCTCTCATCATTAATGCTTCTATCTCTCTTCCTCTCTATAATGAACAAAAGTATATTTTTAAAAAGTACTTTAGCTATCTCATGGGAATATCATAATTAATAATCTGGTAATTGCTGATGTTTATTTTATTATTTTATTTTATATTCTCACCTGAAAATATTTTTTCCATTGATTTTTTTTTTTTTTTTTTGAGAGAGAGAGAGTGGAATGGAAGGGGAGAGACAGAGAGAGAGAGAGAGAAAAAAATGATGTAAAAGAGGCACATCGATTGGTTGCCTCCCGCACATTCCCTGACCAGGAATCGAACCCGAGATCTTTTGGTCACAGGCCGACATTCCAACCTCTGAGCCAAATAGGCCAGGGCTGATGGTTTTTTAAGCCTCTAAGCTGGGAAGGTCTGATTGTAATGAGGAAATTGCTTGGCACAAGGACAATAACAGCCATTTGAAGAAGGTAATAATATATATTTTTATGGCACCCTAGAGGAATAAATGTTATTTCATCCTATGCATATTGCGTTTCCCAGGCCTGGTCTGTCTGCACATTCGGTGACATGTTTGTCAGCACAGTGAACAGAACGGAGGGAGCAAAGAGCAGAGTACACTTAAAGTGAGGTCGTATGGACATTGAGAAGAAAGGAAAGACTTGTGATGTTTTTCCATGATAGCTGATTACAATTCCAAATGTGCTCTTAGTGTGACGCCGTCTGAGGAAAACTGGTTTAAAAGTTCAAGTTCAGAAACCTGTTTAGCAGTTAGCTTGTTTTTGTGCCTGTTTTTTCAGATGTTGAAAGCATTAGGATAAACAATTAGTTTTATCTGTGTAGGTGATTTCTCTTTGCTATTTTTGTGGACGTATGCATTTGAAAAGCAGCCCTATTGATTACTTTTCACAATCATAGGTATAAGGGATCTTCATGCAGATCATGCTGCCAGTCACATCGGAAAGGCACAAGGCATTGTCACCTGCTTGAGAGCGACGCCCTATCACAGCAGCAGAAGGAGGGTGTTCCTCCCCATGGACATCTGCATGCTGGTAAGGCCGTTGTTTGTACGCTCGAATAATTTTCCTCAGGAATATGGGGAGGATGTGATTTCTTGGCTCTTTGCTTAGTCTATTCAAGTCACTGCTTTGAAATGAATGTACATGTCTTTTTGGCTCCTTGGTTATTGAGTGAGAATTTTTGTCTGTCAGGCATTTTAGTTCTCTGGTGGAGCTGTAGTAAGAAAATCCGGAGAACCTCCCTTGTGTAGCCTCCTGTGGATGCTTACTCCCTTCCAAGCAATTACAGTAATTATTCCTTCTGTAGCTTAGCCTTTGTTTTATTTTTTAATTGAGGAGAGGAGAGAGAGAGAGAAACATTGGTTTGTTGTTTCACTTCCTTAAGCACTCATTGGTTGATTCTTGTATGTGCCCTGACCGGGGATCAAACCTGCAACCTTGGCATATTGGGAAGAGGCTCTGAGCTACCTGGCCAGGGCCAGCCTGTTCTTTATTTAAGAGGAGGAAAAAATCCTTAAGACAAGAATATTGTTTATGAGAACTTTTATTTTCTGTATGAGATTCATTATTGTCTGTGCTTTTAAAATGTCTTATATTGTATGTTTGTTTTCTTGCTTGTGTATTTTTTAAAAATATGTTTTATTGATTTCAGAGAGGAAGGGAGAGGGAGAAGGAGAGAGAAACATCAATGATGGGAATCATTGATTGGCTATCTCATGCACATCCCCTACTGGCAATCAAGCCTGCAACTTGGACGTGCTCTTGACTGAAATCAAACCCAGGACTCTTCAGTCCACAGGCTAAAGCTCTATCCATTAAGCCAAACCAGCTAGGACTATTGCTTGTGTGTTTTGGTTCTACTGCAACCATTCTTATTTACCATCCTGTTGCATATTCTTCCAGGAAGGAGGGGGGGGGGGCTGAGTATATATACACAGCCACACATACACATATATGTAAACAACCATATTTCTTTTTAAATAGACATTATATTGTACTTACTGTTCTCTTACCTGTTTTCTTGAGCTAGGTTAGTTTTAAGTATGCTTTTTAATTGCTAATACAGTATTTTTCTACATAGCACGGTGTTTCACAGGAGGATCTTCTACGGAAGAGCCAAGGAAAAAATGTGAGAGATGTGGTATATGACATTGCCAGCCAGGCACACCTGCACTTGAAGCATGTAAGTAGCCTTTCTCCCCACCTCCCACCCCCAAATCATTTAGGAAACTATCCTTTCTAGGTGTGGCTACTCCCAGAGCATGGTCATACTGTTCCCTACTTGGCAGACTGTATTCCAACTTCCATTGGAATCCCAGGGGATTTCTCTCAGGGACTAGTGTAAACTCTCCCCACTTTTAAAGAACACCGCTTTCTCCCTTTCAGCAAACGTGTGCCCCTTTGCTGGGCTTCCTCAGGGAGGTTCCACTCTGACCACCACTCACCATTTCTGTCTCTCGGGCAGTGTGTCTTTCTGCCTTGCAAGGCGGATGCCTCTCCTCCCTTCCCAGGACCTTGCATCCTCAGCAGTCCCAGCTGGTTTTCAGTTGGCCTCTCCGATACCTTCTTTCTCTTCTCTTCTGGTTTGTTGCTGCTGCCTTCTAAAATTATCGGCATCCTGTGGGCCCTCCTGTTGCTGATTTTCCCTCACAATTAACCTTTTTTGAATAAGTGACCCTCCCATCTCTGACACTGTTCATGCTGTAGTTTGGCTTATTATTGGAGTAGCAGGATGTAATCTCATCCTACTTCTCTAATAATCACTAGTGAATAATCTCCTTTTGCCACATTTGAGAGTGTCTGATTTAGAGAAGGTGGATGTTATGTATGTACACACACACACACATCAGAGGTAGAATCAGCTAGACTTGATAACTGATTGGATTGTGATAGGATCAGGATGAAGGAAGTTGAAGGCTGCACAGAGTTCAGGTAGAGATGGTGAAGGGGCCATTCAAAGACTGTAGTTTAAAAGCAGTGGTACACTCAGATCAGTAGACAGACTAGCTGCTGGACATCATTGAATGGAAGGGGATGAGAAGGCATTTAGGGAGATGGGCTGATAAAGAATGCAGGATTGTGACTTTGAAAGGAGATGAGAACTGGAGAGAGACTCGATTTGGGAGCCATCCACATGGAGGAACTGGTTAAAGCTCTGAGTTTGGATGTCATTGCCCAAGGAGAATGTACATCTGGATAAGAGGACCGAGGGCAGAACCTTGTGAGCCACCTCCATTCCTCAGGTGGAGGGAGAAAGGGCCATTTATTAGGAAGAAGAAAAGAATGATCAAAGAGGTAGGAAAACAGAATCGGTGTGTTAGAAACCAAGGGAGGAACAAATTCTAAGAAGGGGGAGTAGGGAAATGTGCATGCTACAGGGAGATGAAGAGGAAAGAGGTAGGCAAATAGCAAATCGTGGATGGTTTGGAAGAGAGCAATTTTAGTAGACGGGTAAAACGGGGCAGGGGTGAAGATGTGAATCAGGAAGCAGAGATGGTATCACACAAAGGCTTGGGAACGGGTGGGCTTGGTGAGAGCCGGTGGGCATCAGCCCGAGAACCTCAGGGACTCCTAGTCCAGAGAAGTAGGGAGGTGAGTCAGATGAGGTGAGTCAAGGTGCGGAGGTCTCTGAATCCCAAGATGCATAGTTGAGACTTGATCTATCAGGGCCTCATGTTAAAGAAAATAAAAATAAAACAGCTTCTTAGGAACATTAAATTGGCTGGCTGTGCGGAATGAATGAAAGGTTGGGGAACATGGAGGCAGACGATCAGCTAGACTAGAGGATCTTACATTCCTCTGAACAGGAGATATGACCATCTGAGCTTGGAGGTGCTGGGACTTGTTAACACCAGTCTGTCTTCATTTACCCCTAACCACAGCGCTAGAGGGTCAAAGGTACAGGATATTGTAAGGCAACCGGAAAATGCCAAAGTCAACTTGTAAGGAAGAATGGAATTTTTAATATAGTACTTTCCCCCGAGTGCTTTAGGCTTAAGAAAGTAACTGTAATCTGCAGGAGTGAGAGCTATTTTCTCGCTTTTGAGAGAGGCCCTCGCTGTGCGGTTAAACGGCTAGTGTTCACTTTCTGAGGGAGAGTGTTTATTTCCAGAAATATTTCCTTTTGTCTCCCTTCTTAGGCTAGGTCGCTCCACAAAAGTGTTCCTGTGAAGGCATTTCCTGCCTTTCTTCAGACGGTAAGTACATTAACAGGGAAGGCTGCCTAATGAACGAAGCAGGTGTGTGAGACCTTTTTCTGTTCAAATGGTAAATTAACGAGGCTCAAATGCATGTCTTTAGTTTGGAGGCCTTATTTTTGTTTCTCTTCCGCGTGATGGGTTTCTTAGTTGCCTTCCACCTTAGGCAGTGGCCATGCCTGTATTTAGCAGCAGTTTGAATCTGCTTTGCCTTTTACTAGCCATGGGGGTTTAAGGTCCCTGACCACCACATTCCTCAGTATACTCGTGGGTAAATGGGAATCACATAGGACGCTATCTTGTAGGATTGTTAGGTTACTTGTAGCTATATAAGTATTACTTATTATTCTAGTAATGTTTTCTCCTCTGGGACCATATTGTAGCATTGGCCTCTGGACCAGTACTGAGCTGCCACCTCAGAATAACCTGGAAAAGCTTTGAAAACATAGATTCCTGGGGTCTTCTTTCTAAATGAGACTTGGATTGAGGAGGGGGGATTCCTAAGAGAAACTGTGATTTTAAATTAATAAGTTCCCCAGATGCTTCTGATTGTAGCCAGATTAGGGAATCATTATTGAAAAATATATAAAGAAATTAAAACAGCTTCTAATTTTTTTAGCAACTATTGCAGGTCAGGCTCTGAATTAGGTCATTTCATACATTATTCTAAGAATCCTTAGGCATGGTTTACTTCATTTCATAGGTCACAACCAAAGTTCAAAATTTGAGATCTTTAAAAATTGAAAACTCATGCATTTTCTATAATACCAAACATATATTCTACCTTTTCCCCGAAAATATATTTAAAGATTCATTTTTATTCTTGTAGATCTTCTATCCTAGGTCTAATGGAAACTTCTTAGAAGATGTCTTTATTTTTATCTCTCCCTTTTAAAACTCTCATTTAAATTCTTAGTATATTAAAGATCACCTCAGGGAAACTAAAATAGCCTTAATACTGATAATGTTTCTTTAGTTTATTTTTAAAGACTTAATCATCCTATGATCTAGTGACCATTTTTCTCTTTTTTCAGGTTGCTCTGGAGGACTATTTAAAGAAAATCCAAAAAGTGAATTTTGATATATTCCACCCATCTTTACAGCAGAAGAATACATTACTTCCGTTGTCTTTGTATATTCAGTCATGGAGGAGAAGATACTAAAAATAACCTCATGGCACTGATAGTAATTTATTTTTATTAGTTTTACAGAAGTATACTAGTTAGGGTTCTTGTTTATAAGCAGCAGGTACTGACTGTTTACTTGAGGCAAAAATGAATTTATTGGATGGGTATGAATAGCTTACAGAATTGATGAGAAATTACTGCGGGGCTTGGGGAACAAAACATTATTGAGATTCTGCCTCAGACACTGCCTTTGTCTCCACCAGCCCAGACGGTGTCTACTGTCCCATCCCTGTCCGGGGAGCCATGCTGCACCACCAGGGGGCAGAGAGAATGTCTCCTCCCTCCCTCAGCTGGGCCACTGCTAGTGCTGGCTCTGCATTTGGAGAGCCAGAGCTCAGTGCCAGCACAGGTGTGAATGAGTTGTTTGGGGTCCCAGAGAGTGCAGTTAATACGTGAGGAGTGTCAGTCACTGTGTTGAGGGTTTTATCCCTAATGCTGGAGGCCCTGTGCGTGGAATTCGTGCAAGAGTAGGCCTTTGCAGCCCCAGCTTTGTCTAAAAGGACGTCCAGATGGTCGTTCTGCTGTTTGGCCATCGGTCAATTTGCACATTACACTTCTTTTTATAGAGTTCATCCTTACAGCCCTGTGCAATTTTATCCATGATTATGATAAAGTAACTTCTGTAAGGTAAGACAGTTGGCTGTCAAGAGCTAGAACCCTATTTCAACTTTATGTCTGGCTGATTTGAAAGTTTTTACTTTTTTGCTAACCCCACTGCTTCCCTTCTCTTATTCTGTATTGTGGTCACGAACAAAGTTGTATTCATAAAGTGTATTAATGTGAAGTGTATTAGCACAATTATATTGAACATTCATTAGGGAATACTGCACTTTTAAAAACGTGTATACTATCAATAGTTGATCTTCCCACTGACAAGCTCTGGGCTACATACTTTCATCAGTGCTCTCATTTGATCTTTAAAGCACTGTGAAAGAAAGAATTTTTTGGTATTTAAAATATAAAATACACACTAGTTGCAAAACAAAATGGTTTGTATTGCTGCTAACGGCAGATCTGACTCTGAGCGAGTCCCTGACTCCCAGGACCAGGATTATGCCACAGCTCCCTTTCCCTTTCTTCAGTGGTCTTGTCTCCTCTCGGTTCACACCTCCCGTGTTCTGTCCCATATCCCATCTCTCTTAAGCCTTCGGTTTCAGCCATGGAGCAGTGCCTACTAATGATGGCTTGTTTTTTGGCCCGGCGAGCATGGCTCAGTGGTTAAGCATCAGACTGTGAACCAGGAGGTCACATGCCCAGCTTGTGGGCTCGATCCCCCGTGTGGGGCATGCAGGAGGCAGCCAATCAATGATTCTCATTATTGATGTTTCTATCTCTCTTCCTCTCCCTTCTCTGAAATCAATAAAAATACATATTTTTTAAAAATACTTTTTTTTTTGGCAAATAAAACTTAAACTGAGAGCTGCTTATGGGTAAGAATACATTGTTTTGTTCATCTTGGGACCCCCAGCACCTAGAATGGCTTCTGATTTAGAGCAAGTAGAGGTTAATAAATGTATAATGGAATGAATGTGCAATGTGATTGTGCTAAGTAGACTCTAAGTTGATCCTGATGCTGAAAGAATATCCTTGTGTTTAAATCTGTGGCTTATAGAGCTTTTTAGCTTATCTGAAAAAGGCAAGTACAAGGAAATGGGACACATTTCCTCTTGGGATTCTGAGTGATCCAGGGTTGAAGAGTTGGTTAGAGATAGTCTTTGTTGGCATTGTATGTGGGTCTTCCTAGGTTCAATGTGACAGCAATCGGCTGCTACGCCTCTTGGTTCTTATCTGAGGACCTGAAAAAGAAGGGTTTAAACTCTGTTGGATCACTGGATTTTTTCTCTGGCTCAGAAGCCAGTTTACTAGTAAGTAAATTTCAAAGTACTTTCTAAGCCTTTTTAAATTTGATGCTTAGGGATTTGAATGAACTGAAGTTTCCAGTCTCCTAGAGATTAAGATGGGATCTTATTCAGAGACAATTATTCTTCTATTAATTTCCTGGCATAAAAGATACTCCCTTAGATGGTGCCAACATTCTTTTTCATTTTTCACATCTCGGGATTTTTTATTGAGCATTTTAAAGGGGTCAGATACATTTTCAAACCATCTAAGATGTGTTTTGATACTGATTATGTGGAGTGTAATAAATTACAAATGTTAACTACAAATTGCAGGTTAATCTCAATGTAGGTCAAGTTGCATATTATTATAAAATATGTTTTGGGTCGTTCCCAAACAACTGACATTATTTTTTACCTCCTTTTGGTTAAATCTCTCCTTTTGATGAAATTAAATTACTCTTGAGAACTTCCACAGCAGCTAACACCGAGCATGAGTTTGGACAGGTGGTGTGCTCTGCACTCTTACGTTATAATCTTCACAGAGAAGTAGGCCTTTATTTTCGAAATGATAAAAACTGCCTCAAGAGATGTTCAGTTCCAAGTCACACAGCCATCAGAACCAGAGCTGGATGCCAAACCCACATTACCTTAACGCCAAAGCCCACAACCCATGTATCTTTACCATTCTTGAGATGGTAACATAAATTGCCAAGTTGAAGAGTTCAAGGGCATAACTAATTTCAGAAAAATTCAGTACATTAATTTTAGGTACAAATTAGGTTTTTAAAAGTATGGTTACTACATAAATTCCAACTACAAATTAGGCGGGAGGGAACTAGGCAAAAGAAATAGACATTACGTGCTGGTCACTGGGTGGCATATGCAGGAGGGGCATAGCACCCTTTTGGAGGAGAAAGGTTTCCCGGAGGAGATGGTATGTGGGAAGTGTCAGGAAAGTTGGGTGGGAGCCAGGTTACAGAACCCAAGCCTTCCCACTGGGGCTTGTAGGAGGCACACACGCGCATGCGCGCGCGCGCACACACACACACACACACACACACACACACACACCCTGGGAGTTGAGTTCTACTTATGCCTAACCACCCCACATCTACCGTCTCATCTCCAAAGCGTGTCCTATAATAAAGCATCTGCAAGTGATCATGGCTGCTTTCTTTGGTCTCCTTTCACGGCTCCAGGCTTGTTTAGGAGAACATCACAAATATGCTTTCCCAAGCCCCTTTCCTTCAGCTGGACAGTGCTGGGGCTCTTCTGTGATGGTCTGGGCAGCGGACGATGGCCCCTAAATCATACCCGAGGCTTTGGAGTGACTTGAACATGGATGGATCCATGTGCTCTAGAACCTGATTTTAACGGACCAGACTCGGAAGGCTTACTTCTCGGGCAGTCCAGGCCCTTCTTGCCTCTAACCAGTTCCTGCCTCTCCTCAGCCTGTGTCAGGAGTATAGAAGCAATCACACAACGTACCTGGGATGAGGATATCCGTAAGGATTGGGTTTAAAAATGGCCTCCCCTTCAGCATGCGGTCTGCATACAAAAAAAATAAATAGAACAAATGCAAATAAAAGGACAGAGCAAGTGATTAAACTTGAAAGCAAGTTTTGCTCCTCAAAGCCTGTGATGGAGCCGTGGTTGGACATTTGCCTCTTACTGGAAAGGAAAACATGATTGATAGTGAAAAGCAATGATCTGATTGGCTGAAATGTTTGGTCTAGAGGACTACTCCATGTAAAATTGCCTCTGACTTCCTGAGTCCTCTGTGACTGATTTTTCAGTTTTACTTGCTATGGTGTTTTTGTTTCTGTATATGTTAAACCAACTTATCCTGTGTGCTAGCACTAGCTCGTTTTTAATGGGATGTCTTTAAAAGTTATATTAATTCAGAGGATGTTGGGAAATAATTGGCTCAATAACGCAGCTTTCAGTATAACTTATGCCCCAAAACCTTTGTATGAAAAGATTCTGACTAAAAATACCTATTATGTTCATAATGAATACATTGTTTTCTATTTTTATAGACGTTTCCTGTTTAACTTTCACAAACTCTGTGATGTGGGTGTGACTATTGTTTTTTTTGTTTTGTTTTGTTTTGTTTTTTAATTCTTGTACTGGGATAAGCCAAAGCTCAGCAAAATCAAGTTCTTTTTCTTCTTCCCCTCCACCCCACCCCCTTGTCCCAAGGTCACCATAAAAAGCAGGAACAGAATCAATGTTGGCTGCCTTCCAGCTTAATGCTCCATACCTTGTGTAAAGCTGGGATCTTGGAACTCTTTCTATTTACCTAGTCATTTAAGCGACCTAATTCTGAATCAGGTAAATATGCTTAAGCCAAATTGAAATTAAGTGTTTAAATATGCTTATTTTCGCCCAAGACCCTGCCCGCAAGGATGAAGGGAGATGGTAGCAGAGTGTTCACCAATGAAGAAGACCTGCAGGGAGGACAGGGGTAAAAAACACTGAGAGGACTTTTAGGAGGGGGAAGAAGAGGGAGAGAAACTGAGAAGGCTTCAGTATGGACTGATAGGGGTCATAAGAGCAAAATAAAGGGTTGCTGTAATCCAAAATAATAACAATCGTAACACGCTTATTTTCAGGATGATTTTATTTACAGTAATTGCTTTCCTGTTTTTCATGCAAAACATTGTGTTCTTAGCAGGGCCAAGAAGTCTTATTTAAACACGCCTATCTGGTGTCTGGTGACTTCGTCCTTTTTCTTTGCATCTTAACGATAACATCCGGCCGTACCCAAAGTTCCGATCCCGAGGGATTCACATGATACACAGTGTAGTCCTTGTCTGGTTTTCTCTTAACTAGGGCTGTCGAATGCGGTTTGGGCTAAGGAATTTCCACAAACCGAATAGTAGAATGTTAGATCTGGGAGGAACTTAATAGGTCATTTGGTTGCATTTCCCACCCAATGCAATGATCTTTTTCATAGCATCCCTGAGTGTGACTGTCCCCCCCTTGTCCCCAACACCACCAGGGACAGGGCCCTCACCGTGGAAAAGGCAGTTCATTCCACTGAATTGCTGGAAAGTTCTTCCTCCTGCTTTCACAATGAACTGAGATCATGTCTCTCACCCCTTGGTTCCATTTGATATAGTATGGTTCTAAAACTCAAATTGGCCATAACATTCAAATTTCTCCTTCACACAATGAAAATGTAAATAGTTCTCATACTGCCCCCTAAGTAGATGACTTTTAAAAAAAAATGTGTTGCTGTGAAAACGTTCTGACTGAATCCCGTTTTCCTGCGGGTTGGGAAAGAACCTGTAACTTCTCCAGGCAATGTGTTTCCGGAAGGGAATGATCCTCGGATCTCTCTGCTCCCCTCCTTGGAGGTGAAGCCTGTGGGGCGGGGCCTGGCTTGTCTGACCCTGAGTGGCCTGGCGGGGAGCCCCGGGTTTTTACCCACCACCCTGAAAGGGGAACCAGTGAACTCGGGAAGTCTGTCCTAACAGGTCAATGAAACAAGATGGCCGTGAGATAGGTAAAGAGAGCTGAAGCCAGATGCAGTTGGATTAGAGACCCAGTGAAGACAGGGGAAGGAGAGGCAACCCAAAGGCAGCCGCTGGAGGGCATTGTGGACAGTTTTGAGCAACTCTGTGCAAGGTGAGAGACGGAGCTGTTGGCAGAAGCACAAGCATGTTTGAATAAACTTCACAAACTTTAGAGAAAACTTACTTTACCGTGCCTGACAGAACATGTCACCAGGATGAACAATTTTGTGCCTTCTTTCTACTTAGTGTAGGGAATAGTGCCTTTCCAGAAATCAGCATAGTCTACATTCTTAGCTTTCTGGTAGTTTTCTGACATTTCTTCCTATTACCAATTAGCCATTTCCTTATTCTTGAATTGGTTCTAGGACCTGTCCCTTCTGGGCCCTGCTTTGGTAAGGTGCTGTAGGTCTCTACCTGCTAAAATGACAGTCCCGCCCTACCCAGTTTGGCTCAGTGGATAGAGCATCGGCCTGCGGACTGAAAGGTCCCAGGTTCTATTCCGGTCAAGGGCACGTACCTTGGTTGCGGGCACATCCCCAGAGGGGGGTGTGCAAGAAGTAGCTGGTGGATGTTTCTCTCTCATTGATGTTTCTAACTATCCCTCTCAATTCCTCTCTGTGTAAAATCAATAAGATATATTAAAAATAAAATAAATAAAATGACAGTTCTGCCCTACCCGGTTTGGCTCAGTGGATAGAGCGCCAGCCTGCAGACTGAAAGGTCCCAGGTTTGATTCCGGTCAAGGGTATGTATCTTGGTTTCGGGCGCGTCCCCAATAGGGGTTGTGCAAGAGGCAGCTGATAGGATGTTTCTCTCTCATCGATGTTTCTAACTCTCTATCCTCTCCCTCCCTCTCTGTAAAAATATCAATAAAATATATTTAAATAAATAAATAAAATGACAGTCCCCCTGGCCTGCTCATTGTGGGCATAGAATCTTGGCCAAAATAGTCATCCTTTGTCCACTTTGTCCAGGTTTTCACCTGTAACCATAACCATAGGTGTCCTGGGGCTCGGGGCTTCGCAGAAACCTCAAAGGATGAATTGAGAAAGACCAAACAAACACAGACTATGAAAAAATATATTCTATACTAGCTGCCCTACACGTGACCAGATATGCCATCAGTTCTTCTAGGGTCTTCTAGGTTAACTTTTACATCCTCTGGCCACGACTAACCCGTGTGTCTCTGCTGTCCTATACGATTCTTCCTCTGCTTTGTAATTCTTCTGCTGGTTTCACTTCCTTGCTCTTTGGATAAAAACCTAAGTTTCCAACTGTGGTCAACAGAGTAAGAGTCCCCCAAAATTATGTTGCCGTACACAGCAAAACAGACTTTGCAGGTGTGATTAAATTAAGGGCCTTCTATGGGAAGATTATTCTGGATTATCTGTGTGGGCCTACTCTCATCATGGGAGTCCTTACAAGAGGGAAGCAGGTGGGCCCAAGTCAGAGAAGGAAGACGTGGTGATAGAAGTAGAGATGGGAGGAAGGTGAGGCCATGATCCAAGGAATGCAAACGGATTTCAGAAGCTGAAAAAGACAGGTTCCCCCCTGGAGAATGCAGCTGAAGGGCGCTGAGGAACATTTTGGGTGAAAACCAAGGCTACTCCATCATACTCTTGGATGTAGAATCAGCTTTCTGAAAACCTATGAAGACGTATCAGCCGCTGCTTTTGCATATCATTGTATTGGGCTGATCGTACAAACTAGTGGGTTCCCCCCAAAAGATATGGTCAAGCCTTCAGCCCAGAACTTGTGAATGTGATCTTATTTGGAAAAAAAAAATTATTATTATTTTTTGCAGATGTAATTAAAGATCTCAAGATGATATAATCTTGAACTTAAAATGGACCCAATGTTCATGAAGGAGAAAGGCAGGGGTGCACTTGAGGCACAGAAACCCACAGGGCCAAGGCCTTGTGAAGAGGGAGGCGGGGTCGGAAGCCATGCTGCCAGAGCCCATGAGCGCCCGGGCCACCAGATGCTGGAAGAGGGAAGGAGGTATTCCCTCCTGGAGTTTACAAAGGGAATGAGGCCCGGACAACGCCTTCAGGGGTGGCGGTAGGGGGTGAGGCCCAGACTTCTGGTCACCTGAATTGCGGGAACATAAATTTCTTTTGCTTTTAAGCCCAGTTTGCGGCATTGTTATGGCACCACAGAAGACTCAGACAGCCATCTTCCTCACAGTTGTCTGCTCTGCTGAAAGCCAGTAAGATCCTGTTTGCCTATCGTGTTGCAAACAAAAGACACCTGCCCCCCCCCCGCCGCCCTCCCATTCCTCTATGCTTCTGCTTCTGCTTCTTGCCTCACCTCTCCTATGCTTTGATGACCCAGCGGCACACGTGTCTCTGCCTTTGCTTCCAGCACGCATGGTCCAGCCAGCGTCAGATGAAAATGTTCAGCGACCAGGAAGGCACAGGTGCTGAGCGATCGGAATGGATGTTGGCTGCAGGGATGGAGCCAAGTCCCTGCCAGGCAGGCCCTCTTCAGGTGCTGGGTCGTGGCTACCAGATTTGGGCCAGAGTCCTCAAGGTAATGCTCACCGTGTACCCGCCCTGCGCTAAGGGGACTATCTTCCTGAAACCTCATGACAGCCGGAGGGGTGAGAAAACAGGCTCAAAGGGGCTCAGGGATGTGCCCAAGGCTGCACAAGTGGCCCAGCAAGTGCCAGGAGAGGTGAGCGCTGTGCTCATGGCACAATCTAGAACAGAGAACTCAGAGTGTGCAGAGGCCCAGGGGTTTCCGGGAGTCAGGGGTTTTAGCTGTTTCTGGAAAGGGGACCCGGCCCTGAGGGGGTCTGCCTGGAGCCAGCGGTAGTGTGTGGGTTCTCGACTTCACGCAGGAGAAAGCTCACAGCGGGAGTCCAGGTGACGTGTGGAGGGCGTCTGTGAAAGCTGGGGACCTGACACTGGGAAGGGCTGGGGGCTGAGCCCGGGCTGGGCTGCTCTGGCTGAGGAGTCAGAGAGAAGGGAGCGCTGGGGGCAGGCTCAGGGCAGTTGCCTGGGATGACCTGCCAGTGCCCATTGCTGCCCTGGCTGCAAGCCTCATGGGGTCCTTTAGAGTCTAGGAGGTGTGTGCCTGGGGGGGTGGGGGAGCAGGAGTGTGCCCCTGGAGGGAAAGGGCTCACTAGCAATTTGGTTGGAGGGGCTTTAAATGCTGGACAGAGGTCTTAGGAGAGGATCTCCGTAGAACATTCATCAGCTTTATGCTGATGGACCAAAATGCGGTTTATTCTTTTAGCTTCATCTGTCCTTGGGTGTGGTTGGCAAATGGCACTCGTTGGATTTCTGTACCTGTCTCCCTGAATAGGAGGTTTAAGCCGTTCACCCTCTGGCTGGGGAGGAGAAGTGCAAACCATTTTACTCTTTGAAGGGTCCCGGGTTTAGGGCAGACAGGATTGACTAGGTGGCTGCAACCTGTCTCAGTTGCCCTATTCCGCTGTCCTCACTGACCGGCCGCCCTGCCTCACAGCCAGGGCCCAGGAGCTGAGGAGCTGGTAAGACTTCCTGAGCCTGGAGGCTCCCCCACATGTGCTGTCCTCTCCCTGCCTGCTTACCAGACCTGGTCTGCAGGGAGGTGTCGGCAGGGAGAGGACAGGCGCCGGTGTGAGGTGGGAGCAGAGACCAGGGGAAGCAAGCACACCTGCCTCTCTAGGCTGGGAAGGGAAGGGGGAAGCCACAGAGGAAAAGGGCGGGGCCTGAGGTGAGAAAGAGGAACCAGAGAAACCCACCTCCACAGAGGCGTGGCCCCTGGGGCTAACCACTGAACACCTGTGCTCCCCAGACAGGCGGGGGGGAAGGGGGGAGCAGGTGGGGGGGGGGGGGAGAGAATCAAGAAAGGGGGCTGGTGCCAGGGAACTTACCAGCAGTTGACCTTCTTTCCCATTCCCCAGGATGCTGAGGGTCGTGGCATTTCTGGTTCTACACATGTAGGTGGACTTTCCCGGAGCTTTTACATCCAGTCCCCAGTGATTCACTGTTCTATTTCACGAGTTAGCAGATCTATCACACATATGCAAAGCTGAGCTATTTCAGGGCTCGTCCTTCTGAGTCACTTGCTGACTTTTTATTTTCTGCCACTGCTCTAGAATTGCACCCTCTCCTTCAGTGTACAC